CTATAATTTGAATTTAATATAGACATCTATGTTAATACTTGTTTAATTTATTATAGACTGACTATGATGACGAAGAGATCAATATTGGTCTTCGGGAACAGGAACAAGACATTCATCAAATTCTTTTCAAATCACTTATTAGAAATGTTAATTAAGATGAAGTCTTAGAAGTATGGAATGTCAGAGCTACTGGAAGAACAGGCATTGGAAACTATGTAGTATTATTAAATGACAGTACACATTTGTGTACATGTTTCTTATTATTAAACAAAGGATTGTTATGTCATCATTTTTTTCATGTTTCTACTTATTCCCAAGCAGCCACTTTTTACATGGCTCTTATTCTGTCTAGGTGGTATCTGAAACCAAATATAGATTAAAGAAAACTTTTACAACAAACATCAACAATTAAAGTCTGTTGTACAGTCAGATCAAAAAGCATTTAACCTAATATTATATTCGAGAACTTGTTTTCCATTCAACCAAGCTTTTATGATTCGCACTTAACAACAAAGCCTAAAAAAGCTATATATGCTGAACTATTTGGATTATCAAAAAAGGCTATCGATTTGGCTATCAAATCTGATATGTCACAGGAGCTAGTAAATACCCTTAAATTATTTCTAAATAACGTACAAGACAAAAATCAACAAACAAATAATGATGACAATCAGATTGTCATAAATAATCCAAATATTGTTAAGCATAAGGGCCAGCCACCAAAAAGATTGAAGTCTAATATTGAGTATGGATCTTTTAAAAGTGGACAGGTACTACAAAACAATATTAACACAACAAATACAATAAAAAATATGAGTGGCGGTGGTGATAATGATGCGACGAGTGTTGTGAAGGGATGTATGTGTAGGAAGTATAAACAATATAGGCATTATGCTAAAACATGTCAGGCATGAATTCAATATTAAAATACTTAGTATTAGAATAATTTTTTTTTAAGTAGATTGTACTGAATTGCATGTATTATAACTTAGTTGAAGTTCAATAAACACTATAATGGCAATGAACTTTGTTTCATTAATTGGTTTTATGAATTAATTTTATGTATTACACACATGTCATATGATTGAACTATTTTAATTGCTATCTATAATAGAGATGTGATCCATTAATCAGCAATCCGAATACTTGTTCAAAATCTGTATTTTTATGTGATCTATATGATCCGTATAATTTTTGTATATTGCGAACTACTGTATAGTTAACTACAATTAACTGCAAAAAAACTACAGTTAACTCTGCAAAAGATTAATCAATCTGTATAGATACGGATTATATTTGTACAATCTGTATTATAAGGATTTGAATAGTTCACATCACTAATTTAGAAGTTTATACTGTGACAAGGAAAACATATTCAATTTGGATGAGTATATATAGTTCTTTCAATTTGTTTTATGTTCAAATATTAACTATATGCTGTAATTCTATTCTAAGTGTTATCATTACAGATAGGCTTTTTCTTGGTGACACATGCAATGATAACAATATACAAGTTTATTCTTGTTATAGTGAACTTATCATTATATTGAGAATTTAATTAATCTTCACTATAGCAAGAGTGACTTGCATCAAACCTAACAACTAAATGAACAAAAATATATTACTATAGGCTAGGAAAACTTCGAATGCTTGTCCTAATCGCCAACATTAATAGATGAATTGGCATTATTATAAGTTATTTAGCTAAGTGTATTTCACGTTATGGGTTATTTAAATTTTTTTTTTTTTTGAATAACTTCTTTATAATCCATTCTATTCTTCAAGTTTGGGTTTAGTTGTTATTATGCTGTGAACTATATGCCACAATTACTATGTTACTTTTGTCTTATATGAAGGATGTGTAAAAATCGTTATTATTTGTTTAGAGTTAAAACCATTATTAGGTTAGAGTTAAGTGTGTTATACAAGTAAGTAGCTTCTTGAAGTTCATTTATATTAGAGTTTAGTATTCAATTAGAGTTAGGAATTGGCTAGTAATAAGAGTGTCAAATGAAATCTTTTGTTAGTATATAAAAGTAAATGCATACTAATATAAACTTAGCTACATCCTATATAAAAAACTAGTTTATAAAATAAGCACAATTGAGCTGTTATAATTTGATGTAGTATTATGTTAAACCAAATCGTAATTGCTATATAATACAGTAACACACTAGTTTATTTATATATTCATATGATATGTGTATAATACATATAGTGTACAAATAGAAATAGTCATTTCTAAATTATTCAATCATAATTGAGTATATTTTTGTGTTACTATATAAGTACCTTGGTATAACATTAATGTATAAATCTGCAAAATTTCAACTATGATTATTATGTAAATAAAAGTTATAATAAAAAGAAAATTACCTATTTAAATTAGTTTATTATATAAAAAATTAACAATTTTATATAGTAAAATTAATAATACTTATATATGTTGTGTCTTAAACTAATGCTTGCCTTAGATTACAGCTAATGCACCTAAATAATAATCATCAAATAAGGTGCATAACCTGTAGATCTGTTACCTGAAGTGCCTCAGATACAGAAATGTTAGTTTAAATAAGTTTTAATGAAAGTAAAATATAAATAAGATCAAAGTATAATTAATATGAATAAAAAGTTCTTTGGTTATAGACTGTTTAACTATTTCATATCAGCACTTTTTTTGCCATCTTTATATCCAATATTTTTTTTTATTTTGACACTTTCCTTACTATCTTCACATTACCTAATATATATTTTTTTTTTATACTTTTTTTTTTTTCTTTAATATGGAATATACCTTCATTAGCAGAAGCATATTTGATTAAATTATAAAAAACTATATAATGAATCTTTCTGAATCTAAACAAAAAAAATTGCTAATAAGCTTTGAACTTTTAAATAAGATAAAAATCATCTTAACTAATCCAAATGACAATACTCTTTATGATAAAGGCACCTATAATTGGGCTAAGCAAAGGTTCAAAGTTAAGGAAATTGCACTCAATGATTATAGAGTTGTGGTTAAAGCTTTTAATAACCCTGTGCTATGTGTTAAAAAATTTTATGATGTTTTGTATCATATTTATGCTGAGGTTACTCAGTATGATAAACAAAAACAAATGTAGAAAACTGTATAAGAAAAATAGGGTTGAATTAAGCAGAACTTGGTCAAATAATTTGTCAATAATTGCACAATATGTGCAGTTAAAAAACCTTTATTCCATTCTCTTGCAGCTAAACTAATAATAGTAAATAATTTTTTATTTAGAGTTCAAGTAAATTTATTTTATTTTATTTATGTTAGTTTTTATTTTTTTAATTATAAAATTATAATAATTTTTTTTATTTTTTATAAATAGATTTAATAGATCTCTCATTCAATTCAGATAAAGAATTCAAATACATATGTTATATAAAAAACCACTTTATTAGGTTTTTCTAGGCAAGAGCACTTATATCAAAAAGAGTAACTGAAGTTGCATCTTATCTTTTTAACCTTTTTCATTTAATTGGGTTATCACTAACAATACTACAGTCAGATAATGCAAGAAGTTTGTCTTGCAAGTTATTAGAGAACTTATCAGTCTATGGCCTACTGTGAAAATCATCAATGGTCATCCTAAACACCTCTAGTTTCAAGAGCTTGTTGAAAGAGCAAATGAAATCTTGAAACAAAAATTAGAAAAGTGAAAAAAAACTATTGGTTGAAGTGACTAGGCATTTGGTCTAAGGTTTGTCATTATAGCAATAAACAATTCATGATGCTAAGCATATAAGAAAACACTATATAAACTAGTTTATAGGAATAAATCTCATAATAACTATACTTTGGTCAATAACCTGTATGCTAATAATGTTTATGATAAAGAAAATGTCTCAAATATAATTAAAATTCAAACTGACAACATTATGGATTTAGATGATAATATGAATGATAAGTTTTTATTTTATTTTTTTATTATTTATTTGTTTAGTACATGTATTTTATATATTTATTTTATTAGATCAAGGCTTAGAACCTTCATATCCAGTATCAGAATCCCTACATCTAGTATTCTTGCATTCAGAACCAGAGTCCTGTATTTAAAATTAGAAACCTTGTATCCAGAATCTGAACCCTTCATCCAGAGTTAGAATTTTTGTATTCTGAACCAGAACCTTCAAGTTTAGAATTCTTGCATTTAGAATCTTCACATTCAGGATCCTTGTCTTTAAAGCTGTTGCATCAGGAATTAAATAATTATGTTAGTTTTATTTTATTTTATTTTAAAGATTCATTATATAAATTATTTAAAAATTTTACTAACTTTAATGATTAGAGCCAAGATTCAACTTCAGTTTTTGTGGATTCTATAAATTACTATTCTAATATACAGCATAAAATTTTATAAGAATTAGTTTAAAGAAAACTTCAATTATATACAGAAGAGATGACTAAACAAATATTAAAAAAAAGAAAATTGATAGAATTCAATATTGGTGATTTCATTTGTATAGGTATTCCAAAGATCGATCAGTTTGCTATTGATCATCCTAACCTTCCTTGCAAAGTTATAAAAAAAACTGAAAATCAAAAATATCAACTGAGATGCAAGTATGACATAATTAACATATCTTATTTATTAAGTGAAATTGAAATACTAGGAACCTCTATCTATTCTAAACTTGATATTATACTATCAAATCAAATATTTGTTCAAGAAGCATCAAGGTTACAAAGTGTTAGACTAGTATCTAATTCTATTTGTAATTGTAAAAGTTTATATAATAGCAAATGATGTAATTGTAAAAAGATAAATAGGAAATGTTCAAGCAGGTGTCATAGTAGAAGGTCATATTTAAATAAAAATTAATTGAATATATAGAACAATAGTTTAATATATAATACAAATTTGTAATTAAAATTAAATAAATAATGCAGTTAATTATTGTATTTAAAATTTTTTTTTAAAAAAAATATTGATATTATTATATTCATTATATATATGATTTTATATTAAATATTGATAAAATTAATTGTATCAAATTATGATTGAGGTACTTCAGGTAAGAGATTTACAAATTATGCATCTTACCTGATAATTATTATTTGAAATGCATCAATTATAATCTAAGGCAAGCATTAGTCTAAGGCACAACATATATAAAAAAGTTAGTAATTATAAAATTTTTTTAAAATTTAAAAATTTTATTTATATTTATATATATAAAATAAA